GGGGATGCGGAGGGCTGCGGTCCTTTTGAAAAGCCGGGGATGAAGACAGAGCGGAGCCTCGGATGTCTTGCCTCGGGCCAACCTTCAGGACGACCCCCTGTGTCCTTGGGGAAGGAGGTGGAGGCGGGAGAAATCCCCCCTTGGACAGAGGGGTGTGCACACAAGTGCCTGCACACGGTGGGGGAGGGGAGCGTGCAAGGGTGTAAGGGAGACCCTCCTACTATTGCTTGGGGTGCACTGCGTCCATTTCCTCGGTGCCTCAGCACCCACCACCCCACCCCAACTTTTACATTGAAGAGCTAAGGAAGGAGCCCTTCTTTCTGACCTGCCTTCCGTGAAGGAAAGCTAAGAAGGAAAAAGAAATCCCAGGAAAACGACACCGGAGATGCAAATTAATAAAGAAGGGTTAAGTGGGAATTAAGTTCGTATTGAGGAATATGACAGATGACTTGTCCTGCCAAAAACAACGGGGGAGAAACAATTCATAGGTTAGCGATGAGGGATTCAGAAGTGGTTTAACTATCCCTTGGGTAGTAGACACATAAAGTTCTTCTTTTATTTTTTTTAACTGATGGTTTTGTTCTTTTGACGCAGGAGATTGTGGCAAGAATATAATTCTCCTTTGAGCATGGGAGATGTTATTAAAATGGGGCTAAGAAGATTATTTCAGAGTACGGCCAAGCTTGCTGATTATTTCACATACTGTTACCTTGGGTTTCTGGAGTAATCTTTTTGATGATAAATGCTCACACCACATAAATAGGGATACTAAAAAGCTAACAAATTACTCTTCACCCCCTTTGAGCAAAAGATAGCTTGCAAATTTAATATGTGCAATTAAAAACATGATGAATTTCATGTTTCACTACTTGAACATGTTTTTCCCTTAAAATAATTTTATTGCATTAGAAAAATATGCATGCAAAACTTAAACCGTAGAGAATTGGAAATAAAGAAAACAAAAATATTCAAATGTGCTAGCCAGAGATAACCATTTGTAAGCTAATTTAAACATCCTTCTAGGCAGGTGGGCTGACTGCAGTCCTATGTCAGTCGGCAGTTTTATATATTTGAAATGCTGTCTAGTTACCTTTCATACTCATTTGGATCTTAATTTTTATGAAGCACTGTTTAAACTAACTTTCATTTCTAATCTATCATAGGCAAAAAAAACCCCAACACCTTACGTTGTTGAAATGTCACCATGTAGTGTTGACAATGAAGATTTGATACACTGGTTCTTCCCTGATGGGTTGTAGTGATCATACTTCTTAAAGGAATAATCATATAATTATCAATTGTCTCATGGATGTAATTATTTTTTCTCTGTTGTAGATCCATTTAATTGATCAAGATGAAGTTCATCTTGGCGATGGTCTTTTTCATTTTGCTTTCCTGGTGGGTTGAAGAAGCCTGTTCTAAAGAGAAGTCTTCAAAGAAAGGGAAGGGGACAAAGAAGCGCTACCTGTGCCCATCGTACGTTCTTTGTGTCTTATACTCCTATATCGGGCAAGAGATTTTTGCATTTTAATCAATAAAGTAAGGTCCTTTTTACGGAATAGAGCAGTAAGACTTTTCATAATCAATAAAGTAAGGTCCTTTTTACGGAATAGAGCAGTAAGACTTTTCATAATCAATAAAGTAAGGTGCTTTTTACGGAATAGAGCAGTAAGACTTTTCATATTCAAATAAGCTCCATCTGTTTTGTAAGTAGGAAAGCACAGGATGAAGGATAGTGCAGAATCAGATAGTTCCTAGTTTTAAAGGTAAAGTTTTATAAAGCTTTGTAAAGTTTTGTTCATAGTGTGGGCTAAAGTGATTTTTACCATTCATTTGTAAATATGAAAACGAAGTTACTGTTTTTGTTTATTATAAGTGTGCAACTTTATTTGGATAGTGAGATTCCATGGTTTGAGTAAATCCTGACAGTTCAAAGAATTGACCTTCAGCAACTGAGCACTGAAAATAAGAATCCCTAAAAGGTAAGATAGGCATACCATGACCTAGATTTAATTAGCTGATATTAATGCATGTCAAAAGATAATTCATATCGTGGATCAAATTTCCATATATATGAGAATAGATATATGGAAAAATATATACATATATATATTGTCAAAGGGTTTGTTGTGGGAAATTCTAAAGTCTCATTTTCCCACATCACACCAAAAATGAAAACAAAAAGCAAATAAGAAAAAATGTTTTGTTACTGGATGCTTTATATTTTATAGGAAAGTTTGATATTACTGGTAAATGATGTCATAAATAATATCCTATAAGTAGAGCAATTGTCCAGTATGTCAATAATAACTTTCACAAAATACAAGGGGCTTTTGGCTAGTAATGCAACGTGTGCAGTGACGGTGGAATAAAAGTTAAGTTGCTACTATACAACATTTTGTTACTAAAACTTACATAAACGTCATATTGGCAATGAATGTGATATTATTCCAAATATCACCATAATTTGAATGTAGGTTACCCTACTTGTAAAGCTGTCTTGAGAAGTCTATCTTGTAAAGAAAGTTCATTTTGGAATTGGAATTTTGGATTGGGTATTTGTATGAAAATATGAAGCTGCACCTTGATACATATAAAGTCCAGCATTAAATGAAACTCAGTGGTAAAGGATAGCTCCTGATGTCCAGCTTGAATGATCTTACATCTCCCTGTGTTTCACAATCCAAGGTCAAAGTCAAATTTCGGAGTGCTTGTGGTGCTTTCCCTGCATGATATTCATGCGGCCTTGTTGGCCGTCGTCCCATTAGGGACAACCACCATCTGCACGTTCCACTAACCGGCAATGTTACAGCTTTTGTGTTCTAACTTGGAGAGCTGCACTGTTAGTAACACAGACATTGTGAAGACCTAACTCTTCCCTAGAAAACAGACACATTTTCATGTTTTAACTATAGCCAGTATATAGATTGTATAATTATGGTACTTATTCTATCTGAGAAAATCAAGCCAGCTCCAGGCAGCCAGGTTCACTACATAAGGATGCCCAGAGTGCTCGTGCGCTTCTTCTTTTCCTCCTCAACTTTCATGAATTAAAGTATTCTGAAAATGAGAACAGCAAATCTGATAACTACACTATATTACAGAAGCGTCTTTTCAAGAACTCTTCTGTCCTTTTACAACGAGCCCGGGTGGCACAGTGATTACACATTGGGCTGTCATCCACAAGGTCGGAAGTTCAAAACTGCTAAGTGGGGGGAAAGGATGAGGCTTTCTACTCCCATACAAGCTTAGAAACCCACAGGGGCAGTTCTACCCTGGCCTAAAAGATTGCCATGACTCAGATCAACTTGATGGCAGTGAGTGTGGTTTTTTAGGGGATTTTCTATCACTTTTTACAACATTCTAAGATTGCCCTATATACAAACTATTTCTGACATACAGTCAATACATGAAACAGAACATAGTGAATATGTAAGACACTTGCAATATCTATAGTTACCTAAGACTATTTTTAGTGAAATTTGATAGATAACAAATGAAACAATAAAGTTCTCTTGGTGACTAAGAAAATCTTGATGACAGAAATAAATATATTGCTTAACAATATATAGCATTTTAGATACGCTGAGTAGTTCATTACAATTTTATTAATAAAATTGTCTATGAAAGTTTATCAATTTTATTTTTATATTTATGTATGTGACCCAAACTTACACAATTCTCTTTTTTCAAAATATTAATATTTTTCCATAATCCATTTCAAAACCTTTTCTTTCTATGTGAGCCCATGGTATCAGCTCCTCATTTTTTCCATCACTTCCTCTCCCTTTCTCCCTCATGAACCCCTGATAATTTATAAATTATTATTATTTTTTTCATATCTTACACTGTCTGCTACCTCATTTCACCCACGTTTCTGTTGCTTGTCCCCATTGGGGGGAGGGGAGAATAGCTATACATAGATCATTGTGATTGATTCCCCCTTTTTCCCCACACCTCTCCCTATCCTCATGGTATCACTACTCCCATTATTGTTCCTCAGGGGTTATCTGTCCTGGATTCACAATCTATACATACATCAATTGTGTAGAGCACACCTGCACATTCGCTACCCTCATCATTCTCAAAACATTTGCTCTCCATGTAAGCCCCTGGCATCAGCTCCCCACTTTTTCCCCACCCTCCCTACTCCACTCTCCCTCATGAACCCTTGATAATTTATAAATTATTACTTTGTCACATCTTACACAGTCCAATGTCTCCCCTCACCCACTCCTCTGTTGTCCGTCCCCCAGGGAGGAGGTTATATATAGATCCCTGCAATCAATTCCCACTTTCTACCCCACCTTCCCTCTACCTTCCAGGTATCGCCACTGTCACCACTGGTCGTGAAGGGATCATCTGTTCTTAATTCCCTGGGTTTCCAGTTGCTATCTGTACCAGTGTACATCCTCTGGTCTAGCCAAATTTGTAAGGTAGAATTGGGATCATGATAGTGGGCGTGGTTGGGAGGGGAGGGAACATTTAGGAACTAGAGGAAAATTGTATGTTTCATCTTTGCTGTACTGCACCTTGACTGGCTCATCTCCTCCCCGGAAAGTTGTATATTTTGTCAGTGCTATACTGCACCCTGACTGGCTTGTCTCTTCCTTGTGACCCTTCTGTGAGGGGATGCTCAATTGTCTACAGATGGCCTTAGGGTCTACACTCCATCCAACCCCTTCATTCACATAGATATGATTGTTTGTTCTGGGTCTCCTGATGCTTGATACCTGATCAATATTAATATTTTCAATGATGATGTTGCTAAAAATCTAGATTTTATTTCTAATTTTATTTTCACAAGTAATATGAACAAATCTGTATATATTATAAATATTAATAAAATCAGAAATTGAGTAATAATTTTTATGATCATCACTGAGTTATGAACTAAGTTTATCCATATCTGATATTGGACCCTTGTATCAGTTTTTCTTGGGATAATACACAGTAATGTACTGTTATCATATGTACCATGAACAAATATGCAAATTATTTGCATCCTAGAAAATAACCCAGGTGGTTTATCTTTTTGATTATTATTATTAAATACTTTTATTGGGGGCTCTTACATCTCTTATCACAATCCATACAGTCATCCAGTGTGTCAAGCACATTTGCACATATGCCACCATCATCATTTTCAAAGCATGCTCTTCCCACTTGAGACCCTGATATCAGCTCTCCATTTCTTCCTCCTCCTTCCCCGCCTGCCCACAAAACCTTGATAAGTTATAGATTATTGTTTTCATATCTTACACCATCCTCCGTCGCCCCTCACCGACTTTTCCGTTGTTCTTCCCCCTGAGAGGGGGTTATAGGTTGATTCTTGTGATTGACTCCCCCTTTCTCCCCCCAGCCTCCTCTAATCCTCCTGGTATCTCTACTCTCATTCTTGGCCCTGTGGGGTTTATCTATTCCTTGTGTTGTGGGCTCTTATCTGCAGCAGTGTGCATATTCTGGTCTAATCCAACTTGTAAGGTAGAATCAAGGTCATGATAGTGGGGGGAAGGAAGCATCAACGAACTAGAGGAAAGCTGTATTTTTCAACAGTGATATACTGCACCCTGACTGGCTCATTTCTTCCCTGTGGCCCCTCTGTAGGGGGATGTCTTATTGTCTACAGATGGGCATTGGGTCTCCACTCCATGCCTCCACCACCCCATTAACCTTGGGTATGATTTTAGATGCCTGGTACCTGATACCTTTGACACCGCATGATCACACAGGCTGGTGTGCTTCTTCCATGTGGGCTTTGTTCCTTCTCAGCTAGATGGCCACTTGTTTATCTTCAAAGCCTTTAAGACCCCAGATGCTATATCTTTCAGTAGCTGGGCACGATCAGCTTTATTTACCACATTTGCTTATGCCCCCATTTTGTCTTCAGCGATCGTGTTGGGTAGGTGAGCATCAGAGAATGCCAGATTATTAGAATAAAGTGTTCTTGTGTTGAGGGACATACTTAAGTTGAGGCCCAATGTCCATCATCTGCAACCTTAATTCTTAACCTATAGATATGAGTACATAGTTCTATTCCCCTCTTGTTATATAT